TATTAGCTAAATTAACATTAATAAACAAGAAGCAAAGTATAAAATATTCATTAAACTTAAATAACTTATTTAAATGAATGATCAAAATTATATTTTTGTGAATTCAACACAGAAAAAATTCTTGAAATAAAAGTGAAAGTCAAAAAACAAAAGTCAAAGAAAACATCAAAGTAAAATAAAAATTTAAGTAAAGTCATAGTGAAAGCCAAAATGAAAGTTGAAGATAAAGTCAAAGCAAGGAGAGTCAAAGAGAAAATCAAAGTCAAAATGAAAATTAAAGCGAAGTCAAAGTGAGAATCAAAGTGAAAGTCAAAGTGAAAGTCAAAGCGAGAGTCAAAGCATAAGTTAAAGTCGAAAGCTTTTTTGGGTCTGTGTTGATCAATTAATGGTCAATTGGCACATCAGGCAGGCATTCTTAATAAATGATCAGCAAAAATTTTAGCGTACAGTACGTACAGTATGCACAGTACAGTACGTATAGTACAGTAAATAGCACATCACTAGTAAAGTACCTATTCGCTAAAAAAAATCTGCTGATTTTAGTAGATTTTTTAATTATTAACTACCCTGAATATTAATGCTCGTACGTATGTACATATATATGTCAATCTAGAGGCTGGACTTGAGTCAACTTGCAGCTTAAAATAGCTATAACTTGAATTAACTCTTGAATAATCTTGTAGCTTAAAAAAATATAGTTTAACTCAAATTAACTTGAGTCAAGATTATGTTTTTTAAGCTATGAGTTGACTCGAGTCTAGTTCTCTACCTCATTCATATAATCTTGGCATATGATTGGTTTATTGTCATGTGATTTTAAAGGGCATGCCTATAGGGCATGCCTCAACTCGAGGGCATACCCCTATGAGCATGCCCAAATTTTTAGCCATGCTCTAAACCCTAGTTACAACGCATCTGCGATAAATAATTAAATCCATAAAGTAAATAAAATCAAAGAAAAAAGTAGTTATTTAAAAAATCTTTCAAGTTTTAAATAAATTATGCAAATTTTTTAAATTTATTTTGGCCTAAATTAAGCTCAATTCTGGCCAAATTTACTCCTGGGCATTATTTCAGATTTAAGGTAACAATATATAAACACTTATATAATATTGATTTTTTATACTTTAAATTTTAAATTAATTTAAGCATAGAATATTTAAATTAATGAATAGCTTATCTAGTATTTGATTAATAATATTTTCAAAACTGTAATTAACTAGTAAAGATATTTTACCAATAAATAAATAATTAATTACTTTTATATATATTGGTTAAATTTATTTAAATAAAATAGACTAAATATGATTTATTTTAAAAATTTTTTTTCAAATAAAATTTTTATGACGATTACTATTTGTACACTATGTGTATAAATACACATATATTGTATCTTAAAATTCTGATTATATAATAGCTTTTGGGGCTCTAACAAAAAATATTCCTTGCAAAATTTTATAACCTCCTCTAACTCTAAAGCTACTCTCACCCTAACCTTAAGCTATACTAATTTTTCATTTATAATTTATATATTAAACAAATTCGTAAATCAATAAATTAGTATGTGTGTATATACATCTGGTGTAAATTAAGAAATTTTCAATTTTTTTATATATTAAATTAAAATTATTAAATAGATTTATTTTATATAAAACTCTAAACAATGCCCTATATATTTTGTGCAAAGCCTCTAGCTGTCCCACAAAATTTTTTCCACCCCTTGCAATAATGACCAATCGAATTTCAGGATCAGGCGTAACGTGGAAATCGAGATGAAGCAAAAAAACAAGAATAGTTCTAAATTTTAATTAGGCAACCACCTTCTGTGGTCTAATGAAAAATGTTCCTTGTAAAATTTTACTTGTAAATGTCACATTATCCTAGTCCTAACCCTAACTATAACGCAGTTTTCTTAACTTTAATTTTGCACGTAACTTTTTACTTAGAAAACAAAATACGTTTGTTTTGACTATCACATTACACCTAATCCTGAAATTCGATTTGTCGATATTACAAGAGGTGGAAAAAATTTTGTGGAACAGCTACCTAAAATCTATTTAGTGTCCTAAATGATCATCAATTGTGTAGAACCAATAATTTATCTAAATTTTTAATATTATAAATAAAATACCTCAAGCAAGAAATTTTAATTAGTTGAATAATTGATTCGAATTAACCAATCAGACAAACATCAACCTAAGAACTCTAATTTATATTCTAATTATTCAAATTCAAATATGTTTGTAAACATTGAATCCAAATTTAAACTGTGTTTGAGTCTAATTTAGGTTCGAGTACTGTGGGTTTGAGTTAAATTTGCTGCTTGGTTCAGTTCGAATTTGATGCTTGGTTAGACTTAAACTGAACTTGAGCCAAATATTTGAACTCTAATAAAAATATATATTAAATTTTAAATTTCAAGATTAGATATAATGTAAAATCAAAATAAAACTGTTTTGCAAAAAATTTTCAATAATTCAAAATTTTGATCTTTTACGTTCTAACAAAAAAAATTTCTTGCGAAATTTTAGTATAAGCTATGTTTATTTCCAACCTCATTCTAATTCTAATCTTAATTGCAAGGTTTTATTTTTATTAAAATTTTTGAGTCACTTTACACCTAATCTTAGTTACAAATTAATTAATTCAAATTCTATTAACAAAAGTTAAAATTATATTAATAAATTTTAAATTATATTGATCAAAAAATACAACTCCAAAAAATTAAGTATCTATATAAAAAGGGTGGTGCTCATTTCACTGACAATCACTTCACTGACAGTTCACCCACAATTAATTCACCAACAAGTTTATTTCACCAACATTTAATTCACCAACAGCTCATTTCACAGACAAAGTAATTCTGACTATTGCCATTAAGGTCAGGCTAGAATTAGTGTTAAGTTAGTGTAGTTTATAAAAAAACTTGTTGGTGAAATGAACTTGTCAGTGAATTAATTGTTGGTGAAATGAACTTGTCGATGAATTAATTGTAGGTGAACTAAGATGTTGGTGAAGTGATTGTTGGCGAAATAATATATATCTATATATATATATATATATTTATATATAACTTATAGAGGGAAGAATCTATTCTATTTTTTAGAGCATTAGCATTTGAATTTAAACTAAAATATGAATGCATGTATTAATATTTGTATGGAAACTTATAAGTAGACTATTAAAAATATATACTAGTCAGATGCGTTACCAACATTTGGAATTAATTAAAACACGAGAGATTACTTCGATGTGTAGCTGTAGATCGGTAATGTATTTAGAATTGATTGCCATGAAATGTAACATTATTTTTTGTAAGAATTTGAAAATCTTCCCATCATTTAAAGCATGCTAACCATTTATATAGATTTGAGGAAGATCTTCAAAAGCAATTTTATATTGTATATAATGTAAATATTATATGCATACCATACTTGCAAAATATGTATACTTGCAATATGCATCAGTACTTGCAAAGTACTCTAACAAATTATAGTCTTGGCAAATAATATTCATTTAGGCTTCCAGCATTTTTAAACAATACTGATGTAATTTTATATATTAATTTTTAAATATTTGCAATTTTTATTTTTTTTTAAATCGGATTTTTTACCGGTCAGATAGATTGATAATCACAGATCGTCAAAGGCTGTAGCGAAAGACCAAGTGAAAGACCTTACAAAAAGTATAAAAGAATAAGCTATTAACTATTTATGCTTATATTAAAAATCATACAATAACAGATTAAATTTGATAAAGGTGTAAGTAAGTTGTACATGTACATAATTAATATACATAAATGAATTATTATTATTAATTATTACTGTAACTACATTTAATTAACATCTATAAAAGGGGGTCAGAGCGAATTCAATATATGATCTACATACTGCATAAGTTACATTTTTGATATCTATATAATCTGCTAACCTTAATGCACCAAAAAGGTAACCCTAAACCTTGCTCCACTTTATCCGAGCTGTATAAAAGGAAAAGCATTGATCATTTTTACAAATGATCATTTATACAAGTTTGAAACTTGACATAGATAAATACTGTGCATATACAGTATATGTATCAACATGACCATACATATATATGAATTATTAAATTAATTTATTACTATTTAAGCATCTAAATTACTCCTGCTTAACATTAAATAGCTAATGCATATGGAAAATTAATTTCTAGCCCATGAAGATGCAGCTTCAGGTGAATATCAACCTTGAATATGACAATATCACGATTATCATAATTAATTCATTTAACTAAGCTCAAATCTTTATTAAAAAAAAGAAAGATTGAATAAACTGACAATTTCACAGCAGTAAATAACAAAAGCTAAACTTCATAAAATAATAAGTAAAAAAAAAAAAGAATCAAATGCATTGACAATTTTATAATACTGTAAAGTAAAAAAAAAAATGAACAAATAAATTCATAACAATGATGAGTAAAAAAAAAAAAAAAGAAAAAGAAAAGGAAAAACTTATTTATATATTAATCAAATATATAAAATTTAATACAAATATCAAAATAACTATATACAATATATTTATTCTTCATCACAATCATCATCACTTATGACATGTGTTCAAGTTTAGTATTACATGTCTTTCTTACTTTACATGTACTATGCCCTCTATTTTTGCTTCCCCTTCCATGACCACGAACTCTTTTTGCAAACTTAAAATTATCATCTTTTTCATTTTCATTATCCTCTGTTGCTAACTCATTAGGGTTTTTTTCTTTGTCAGATCTATCCAAGTCCTTATAATGATCTTCAGACATATTTTGATTTACTGGCATTCTATTTCTAACATAAGTAATATTTGCAAGTTCCAAATCATCAATTCCAAGTAAATCTTTAGCAAGTTCATTCACCTTTTTTATCTCAATATATTTTGATGGTCCAACATTAGATGTTGACGTATCTGATTTTTGAATGAATTTCATTTGAACTGATCAGATTCGTTAAATTTGAAGCTTCAAAGCCTTTTTCAGTAATATTATGATGTGCGGCTAAAAGCTTAGAATAAGTTAACTTAGATGATGTTAATGATTCTGAATTGCTTGATCCAGGCAGTTGCATCTTAGTCATTAAATTTGTACCAGTATAATTAATATCTCTTGCATAAACATACAATTCATCTTTAATAATTTCCATCTCACCAACAACAAATAAGGGGAGGGACAGAAATCAGCTGATTTTTTAGGAGGTGGGGGTTTGTGATTCGATCAGGTCCTATATTTTGTAGTTAAATTTAATTGGCTAATTTTTGAATCAGGTGGAGGGTGGAGGGTATAGCCTCTTAGTAACTTGAAATCACCTGATTTCTGTCCCTCCCCTAACATAGATTCTTTCAGTCGAATAGAATTTTTAAAATGTTTAAATCGTGAATTAAGATGTGGATAAGTAATGTTAACTATAAATTACACTCTTAAGGGTAGAGTGTATGTTGATCATTTATCATATGATCTCAGTGGTACAACGGGATTTTATGCATAAATTAAAATACGTCACTAGTAAAAGTTCTCAAAACCATGGTTAAATTTTACCAAAATTTTGTAACATACAAATTAAACCTTCTATTTATAGTAGTAAAACTTTCGGGGGCTATATTATTTTTAAAAAATAGACATACATATGTCGTAAAGTTCCCGGGGATTTCTCAAATTTGCCGGGGTTACACAAAAAAACATAGTAAAAATATTTCTAAAACAGGTAATTACCCAATTAGATTTGTGTTTACTATGTAATTTGTTACACAAAAAAAAGTACCATCGAGATCATATGAAAAATGATCTATGTACACTCTACCCTTAAACAATATAATCATTAACTAAAGTCTTAATAATAGCATTTTCATCATTCTCAATTTTCCAAGGCTTACTTTGAGCAACACCAACTAAAGATATATTTAACGGACAATTAATTGAATTTGATTCTCTATTAATACTAATATGTGTCGAAACTGTAACCATCATCTAATTAAACAAGTATAAATAAATAAATATTGCATAATTTTTATAAGTTCATGATAATGCCTTTAATCTTTTAACATCATGATAATACTCAGGTACTACTTTTCCACTGATAATATAATACTTATTTTTCTCAAATATCCTTTGACTATCTTCATCTCTCTTATCGGAATTAATAGGTACAAACATAACTAATTCAATGTCGTTATCTTTTCTTTCAACAGAGTAAGTACCAATAGCCCACACAATAATGGAACTAATATTTTCTCTTATAGATTGTCGAACTTGATTAATCTTCATGATAGTATTTCCATAACACGGCATATTTTTAGCAATTACTTTTGCAAAGCAAAAAATGAGAATTGAAATTTTCTTAAATTCATCAATTTATTACTTTTCCTCTAATATAAATTATTTAAATTAAAAAAAGAGTTTTTTTTCAATAAAACCTGTTTTTACCAAAACATTTTTCTTATCGTACATAAATACCCCTCATTATGAACTTCTAAATATAACACTACTAATAATGATAATTTTCAAAATTATTAATATTATGCATTAGTAATCAAAATTTTACACACAATTACTATTTTGACTTGCAAAATAGTTAAAAATAGCTTAAAAATAGCTAATTCATGTTATAACTTACAAACCGCATAACTATTACTACATCTTCTATATAGCCAAAATTTGTTATGTGTAATTATTCTTATCCTTTTCTTATTAATAATAAAATATAAAAGAAATCATCAGCTAAAAATAAAATGCAAATATCTTACTAAAAAAAAAGTGAAAATGCAACAACACGTACCAAAGACACATGTCTTCATATGCTATTGCTACGCATAAATAAATATAACTATATCTATTATTTATTTATGCTTCACAATTATACTGCATAGTATAATGCTTAAATTATATGGGCGCATCAAACTAAAACACTGCGCATAGATTTTTTTAAATTTTGAGAAAATCACATTTAAAAATTTCGTGTAACAATAACAATGACAATCTATTATTAGTATAACCTGTTGGATCAACATCAATTAGCCAATCACACAGATGCATTTCTATGACTCTGCAGCAAGGATCGACAATTAGATTTCTGAATTCTAATTTTAGATCATGGCTAATCATATATGAGATTTAAAAAAGAAGGCATTGACAAAAATTTTATTATGTAAATCAACATTTTAAATATCAAATTATCTAAAAGAATGTCTACTTTGTATGACTATATGGTTAATTCATTTTTGCAAAAAATGCCATAAGCCGTGTTTTAGTTTGATGCACCTCATATATTAATGCTATCATAATATCTCTTAGGAAGTAAATATAAAGATAAAAAAATGAGAAAAATAAATTACAGAATTATGCTTATCATGGTGATGATAGGTTTTTTTTGTTCTGGAAGTAGCAAGCTATATGGGCTGACATATACTGTTTGTGATACAATTAGATATTATTTAAATTTTAGAAATAATGATAAGATGATATTTTATATTAAAAATGGTTAAATCTAAATAAATTCAAATTATTTATTGTCTTTCTTAATAATTTTATATTAATTAATTAGGTTCTGATATTTAATTATATTTCAAAGAATTGTATGTTATCTATCTAATAACTTAGACGATTTAAAAATAATTTGTATTCTTGCATTAGGCTAAGATCACAAAATGCATTTGTCAAGCTGAATTTTGACATAAGTATTTATTTTTATTTAACATTAAATTTTGGAGCATAATTAAAATTTTTAATAATGATAATGTCTCTTTGTAGATAGTAATGACTAAAGATAATATTGGCAAAAAATTATAAGAAGCATGCTAAATCAAATCTAAACCTTTGACTAATACATAGACAAATTAAAGAATAAATCAAATAAGTGTTACAGAGCAAAAACATGTAACTGAACATAGTAAATCATTATGTTAGTTACAGGTTTCACTCTGCAGCACTCAAATGATATATTTACACTAATGTCTCAAAGAAAGCATATTTAATCATATGCAAATATAAAGAAGCATATGCAGTTTTAACTAAATTGCTAGAAATTGAATCAGAGAATATATTAGCACTAAAAAATTTAAAATCTTAGAAATTAATCTTGACCCTGATCATAAAAATCATGTAGCCACATCTTTTCACAAAGTACTATAATAAATAGAATTAAAGTGATTATGAAAAATATTAATTTAATATATAAAAATAATAATAATTTTTTTTTTTTAATATTAAGGTGACCACTTTGGGGTTTGGCATATTTTATTGAACTTTGGATCGAATGTCAGGGCAACCACATGAGCTACCCCTGACTTTGTTACATTAACGAGGATACATTCTAGCTATATGTACAACCTTTGGTTGTCTATTTAAGCAGTCTTGTATATATAACCCATATGAACTACACTAGATACTATATCTGTAATCCACTATTACTTGAGTTACCCAATTAAACCCTCTGATTAACTTAGCACTGTTAGGATATTCTCCCCAAAAAGGAACTGCCATGTAAACCCCTTAGGACTTTAAAGTAGATACACACATACTACCATATAGAGGAGTCCTTTATCCTCGTAATAAACCTACCAAAGCAGTCCATGTTCCATACTTGTATTACCTAGATTTTTGGTAACTTACACCTAGGCTGCAACCAAGTACTTGCAGCTTTTTATCTCCACTACCATTACCTACTCTGTGCCCTTACAAAGTTCACTCAAACCTCAGCACACACTTTACAGACTATCAACTATACTTTGATACCAACTATCGGTGCCCTAAACTTCTAATCTAGTTGGCTTGGGAGGAACTAGTGGGCATCTCCTAGTATTCCAAATATATTCTTTTTCTTCTGGCTAATCTGGCAGCCTGGTTGATATAGTGCTTGCCAAACACTCGGTCCTTATTCAATTTGTCTTCGGTGTTCGGTTCCCCAGATAATAATCCTTTATGTAGCACCGTCAAAGATCTGTGCTACCTCTCTACTTGAGACTTTCCAAGCGGGTTTCTGTATCCTCTGATCTCTTAGATTTATTTGGCTGCTTCATCTGAGCTTCATATAACTCATATATTACACTATATTCCATAACTTCCCAATACAAGTTGGTGAGACCAAGGTTACAAGTGCTGACCCGATCGATATGTCATACAGTTTTATTGTAACACATTTCTACAATTTTGAATTTCATCACCAGTGGGATTCAAACTCTTGTTCTGCTACTTGGAGATGTGACAACTTACCAACTACACTAAGTTGCCACACCCTTATAAAAATAATTATTTAATATTATCTATTTTTTCTTCATTTATGATTTCAATTTTGAAGTAAAATAATCTATATTTTGAAGGAATTGGATTATTAGTTCGAATTACAACAGCTTTATAATTATTAGGAACTTTAAAAAAAATTTTTTAACTATACAATATTATAACAATATAATATATTTTTGGAAAATTTCTCTTATATATCTTACTTGTATAATTCACTTTAAATCTACTTAAATCTATGCTAACAAACTGTAATTTATTACTAATATTCTATATAGTTGGTAAAACAAGACCATTGAATGAAGTAATCTTTTCTATTACAACAAATTTCTACTCGGATTTTTTTTATCTAGACAAACAATTTAGTTTAGACAAATTATTGTTAAAAAAGTATAAAACAAATTTATTTACAGAAATATATATCTTCATACATGTTACTCAATATCAACTCATCTTTAATTAGTAGAAAAAATGTATATTTTTTCAAAATCATATATATTGACATATTTTCAAAATAGATAGTAGATACTTAGTTTACCTTCATACAAGAACTATGGAAAAAAGAATAGTTAAGAATGAAAAACAATAAAAAAACAAACAAATAGTTAGTGTTTATCTTAGTAACAGTTCTAGTCTTTTTAAGTTAAGATCTCTGAGATTTTAATAAGTTGCTAGAAATGCATCTAACACTTTCTTTTTTTGAACTGGGATTCCAATACTGTATTAATGTAGTTGTTGAAAAGTGTATTTCCTTATATTTCATATTCTTTGATGAACTTACAAATAAAAATAATATTAGCTAAATTAAAAAAAACATTTCATATTGTTACAAAGTAGATTTTTAGTATAGATTTTATTAAACATTATTTAGTTATTTTTAGTTATTATTATTCAAAATATTTGCATTTTTAT